AAAAAAAAAAAAAAAAAAAAAAAAAAAAAAAAAACAAACACCCAAAAAAAAAACAAACCCCCCCCCCCCCCCCCCCCCGAAATCTAAATGTCTACGCAGATTCTCAATCATTCAGGTCATGGTTGTCCCAAAGGTGCTTTTTCTAAAAAGCAACTGGATTTTCTCGGGGTTTTTCTGCCCCTTTGAAAATGTTACATAGTTTGGGTGATGAAAACGTCTGCAAGAAAACCACCAAGATCAGAAACCAACAAGGAGTCCTCACCTGAAAAGGTGTCTGTCCCCCACTCCCCCCCAAAGGGGAGCAAGTCAAGTTTTCTGTCTCCCAGAGAAGAAGATATGGAACAATGGCCTTAGTCATAGGGATGGGAGGACAAAGAACCATTGGATGATGTCCCAAAGGTGCTTTATCAGGAGGCAACTGGACTTTCTGGCTTTTTCTTTGAAGACGTTTTGCTTCTCATCCAAGAAGCTTCTTCAGCTCTGACTGGATGGTGGGGAATTTATATCCATATAAGAGGAAGACCCTGAGGACACAGATAAACCTCCAAGTGCTTCAACGACCCTCAAAATGGATGCAAATGACCAGCTGTCTGCAAGGAGTTTAAATCCTTCCATTCCCCACCATCCAGTCAGAGCTGAGGAAGCTTCTTGGAGGAGAAGCAAAACGTCTTCAAAAGAAAAAAACAAGAAAGTCCAGTTGCCTCCTGAAAAAAGCATCTTTGGGACAGCCAGGTGAGAAGTCTGCTTCCGAAGAGCCTAGGAAAAAGAACGCAGGAGGAACTTCTACCTGTATCCAACTGAGTAGGTCCTATTTTGTTTGGGGGCGATTAAAACATCCCCTGTTCGTTCTTGCTTTGATTGAATGCTGCAATTAAGAATGCCAGGCCTTTGAAGATGATTAAGCTCTTTTGTTTGGATGACAAAACAAATGCCATCTGCAGGAATTTGCATGTGGAGAAAAAACTTAAAAGCATCCTTTGTCTTTAAAGGGCAGGTATCCTTTTAGAAGGATGGCTCAATGGCGGTTCGAATCCCTAGCGTATAATGGAGGGAGCTCCCATTACTTGTTCCAGTTTCTGCCAACCTGGCAGTTCGGAAACACGTAAAAAATGTAATTAGAAAAATAGGAACCACCTTTGGTGGGAAGGTAACAGTGTTCCGTGCACCTTCGTCATTTAGTCATCGTGGTCATACGACCATGGAGACATCTTCGGACAGCACTTCGGCTTTGAAACGGAGATGAACTCTGCCCCCTAGAGTCAGGAACAACTAGCACATGCGAGGGGAACCTTTACCCATCTTTTTAGAAGAAGCGTTAGAGTTTCTAAAACGACAAGATGTCACACAGACCAAGTTGTGCTTGTTTCAGGCCACAAGGTGTTGTTTTATATCCATCCCATTTCAACGTGGTTTTTAAAAACTTTCTTTTCTCCCTTTGGGTTTTAATTTTTTGGCACCTGGTAACTCCTTTTTTCCAGCTCATAGATTAAAAGCCATAGGGGAAAAAAACCTTGCCTGTTACATCTCTTACTAACCGAGGATTTGAAGGCTACTTTCATCGGTCAAAAATGGGGTCAGTAAATAAAGTTACATAAGAATATCTTTCCCTCTCTAGCAGATTGTTTGAGCACAATGCCATTAAAAAAAAACACACACACACAGATTGAAGTCTAAAAAAAGAAAGAGTCCTGTTAAGTTATGATATTAAAATTAAGACTGTGCATTGGGCAGCATGTCAGAGTAGTTGAAGGAAACACAAAGATCCGGGCCTTGAAAATAAGGAACATATGTGTTGAAAGAAATGTCCATCTGGGTTCAGTTCCAAATGGGGAGAAAGACACTGGAAACATGGAGGCTGCTTGGAAAGATGGTTTCATGGAGCAGAACTATTAAGCCAGTGGTGGGATCCTACCAATTTAACAACTGGTTCGGTGATCGAAAGCATGTAAAAAATGCAAGTAGAAAAATAGGAACCACCTTTGGTGGGAAGGGAACAGCGTTCCGTGTTCCTTCAGCATTTAGTCATGCCGGCCACATGATCACGGAGACGTCTTCGGACAGTGCTGGCTCTTCAGCTTTTTTTTTTTTTTTTTTTTTTGACATGCTGAGCACTGCCCCCTTGAGTCGGGAATGACTAGCACAGATGTGCGAGGGAAACCTTTACCTTTAGATAAACTTAGAAACTGAATTCAGTTCAGCTGCTCCTTTCTAACTTCAGAAGAGAAGACACAACACGGACATTTGGCTTAAGGAACAGGCTGCTTTTTCATGGAACAAATCACAGATCGAAAAGTTTCCTCCGCAGGTCTTCATTCTTGGCAGGAACCAAGTCGACAGCGCGTTTCTGGCTGTTGTCCTGCATATGCCTCAGCTGAGGGTGCTGCTCCAAGATGAGCTCACAGATTTCCTGGTGCCCATTCTCTGCTGCCTGGAGAAAGAGCGTAGAAACACCACAGTGGAGAAAGAGAAGACCCATCCCATGGCCTGTTCCCTTGACCAACTGAGCAACGGAGGTGGTTTAGTGGTGAGTGAAGATGATGGAGGAGAAGGAAGGAAGGGAAGAATTGCCTGACAAACAAAACTCAACTGCATATTGAGTCCTTGGTGATAGGAATGAAGACCCAAAGCTTGTGGACTTCAACTCCCAGAATTCCCTAGCCAGCATGGTTGGCTGAGGAACTGTGGGAGTTGGAAGTCCATAAGTCTTTAAATTTGCCATGTTTAGAGATGTGATCTCAAACCTGTTTAGAATAGAATAGAGTTGGAAGGGACCTTGGAGGTCTTCTAGTCCAACCCTCTGCTTAGGCAGGAAAACCTATACCACTTCAGACAAATGGATATCCAATCTCTTCTTAAAAACTTCCAGTGTTGGAGCATTCACAACTTCTGGAGGCAAGTTGTTCCACTGATTAATTATTCTATCAGGAAGTTTCTCCTTAGTTCTAAGTTGCTTCTCTCCTTGATTAGTTTCCACCCATTGCTTTTTGTTCTACCCTCAGGTGCCTTGGAGAATAGCTTGACTCCCTTTTCTTTGGGGCAGTCCCTGAGATATCAGAATACTGCTATCATGCCTCTACTAGTCCTTCTTTTCATCAAACTAGCAATTCCCAATTCCAGCAACCGTTCATCGTATGTTTTAGCCTCCAGTCCCCTAATGCTCTTTGTTGTTCTTCTCTGCACTCTTTCTAGAATTTCAGAATCTTTTTTACATTGTGGCGACCAAAACTGAATGCAGTCTTCCAAGTGGGGCCTTACCAGGGCCTTATAAAGAGGTATTAACACTTCACGTGATCTTGCTTCTATCTCTCTGTTTATGCCGCCTAGAACTGTGTTGGCTTTTTTGGCAGCTGCTGCACACGGCTGGCTCCTATTTCAACAGTTGTCCACTAGGACTCCAAGAACCTGTTCAGATATGATTCCAGCTCAATTCACCAAGGCTTACAGAGGAAGCTTCCTTGTCCCATCTTCAGACTATTAGTAAATATACCTCCAGATGATTAAGCTTGAGTATTTTTTTCCAGCATAGCCTGGAGGACAGGAACAAAAGCCTGTGACCTTCATTTTGTGAAACACACCAGGATCTTTCTATCTTCCTTATCCATTGGGACAGAGAACAATTTCTTATCCCAAGTCAAACCCACTGGCTCATCCAATATTCTCTATTGCTGGGATAGCAATAGCAATAGCATTGAGACTTATGTACTGTTCCATACTGCTTTACAGCTCTGTCTGTATAATCTCACCTTATTGCCTCCCAACAATCTGGGTCCCCATTTTACCAACCTCGAAAGGATGGAAGGATGGGGCAACCTCAAGTCCTGTCAGGATCGAACTCTGTGGGCCTGCAATACTGCATTCTAACCACTGTGCCACCATGGATGGATGGATGGAAAGAAGGAAGGAAGGAAGGAAGGAGGGAGGCAAGGGAGAGGGAGGACGAATAGCAATAGCCCTTAGACTTCTCTACTGCTTCACAGTGCTTTACAGCCCTCTCTAAGCACTTTACAGAGTCAGCCTATTGCCCCCAAACAATCTGGGTCCTTGTTTTACCCATCTTGGAAGGCTGGAAGGTTGAGTCAACCTGTTAGGATCAAACCTCTGATGGTGGGCAAAGTCAGCCTGCAATAATGCATTCTAACCCCTGTGCAACCATGGATAGATGGATGGATGGAAGGAAGAAGGGAGAGAGGAAGGGGAGGGGGGGAAAGGCAGGGAAGGAAGGATGGGAGGGAGGGAGGAAGAAAGAAAGGATGGAAGGGAGGTAGGCAGGCAGGCAGGCAGGAAGGAAAGAAGGGAGGAAGGGTGTTCTGAGTTCTTGATTGTAGTTGAACTTTACATCTCTCTTCAGACACAGTAATGGATAAATGAATGGATGGATGGATGGATGGATGGATGGATGGATGGAAGGAAGGAAGGCAAGTGCTTCACAGCACCTTCTGGCTGGTTTAACAATTTCACCATGCTGCCTCCAAACAATCTGTCTAAGGAAGGGGGGTCACCACTGGGGCTGCCCTGCGCATGCACACCCACCTTATGGAGGCTGGTCTTCCCATCGTCATCCATGGCAGCTGGATCAGCTCCGTGGCCCAGCAGCAGCTTGGCTATTGCGGTGTGGCCACAGTAAGCTGCTCGATGGAGGGGGGTG